TCTTCCCTTCCCTTCTTACCCACCTAGAGGATATCTAGTGATTGATAGTGCTGGGCACTGTTTCAGGGTCTGGGGGTCCTGCAGTGAGTACAGCAATGACCCTGCCCTTGTGGAGCTTACATCTAGTGGAGAAGATAGTCGACGACAGATAGCATTTGAAGTGGCCGGTCTCATAGGACAGAGCAGGGCAAAGGTCAGAGAGCCCTCGGAGGTGGGGTGGTGACAAGGATGAGGAATGGAGGGAAGGAGCTTCCCAGATCTGTGGGAGAAGAACATGGCGTATGTTGGAAAGGGAAGAGCCAGAGGCCCCAGAAGGGAGTGTGCTTGGCCTGCTGGGAACGGGTGAGGACACAGGTGGTCAGAGAGGCGAAGGTCTGTCCATGCGCCTATCTGAATGTGTGTCTCTGTGTGCTTCCATGCTTGATGGATGGCAGTCAAAGGGGTGACGGGGCAGAACCACGTGGGGCCTGGTGGGTTACTGGGAAGCTCTGGGTTGGGTCTAAGGCCATGAGCCAGGAGGGCTTTGGAGCCAAGGGATGCCATGGCCACCATAGCGGGGAAGGAGAGGCAGGGAGTTAGGCAGAGGGTGCTAGGCATGGAGGTGGCTGGGTTCTTAAGACATTGTGAAGGCTGGGAAGACAGGAGGTGCTGTGGATGGGCTGCAGGGCCTAACAAAATGAGAGCACTTGAAGATGAGCCCAAAGCTCTGCCTGCGGCCCATGGAGTTTCGGGTAACAGAGATGGAGAGCAGCAGGCCGGGGCCGGGTGGAATCACAATGGGATAGACCCACATTGTCAGAGTTGCTAGTGGGCAGCACGTGGAGGCAGCAGGTGGGCCATGCAGGGGTGGAGTGGGGGTGTCCAAGAGGAGGTCAGAAGGCGCCACAGAAGCTTAGGAGTTGGGGTGCCATGTGCCATGGGGCTGGCTGAGATGGCTCAGGGTGTGAGTGTAGCCCAGGCCACACCAGCCTGTTTTCCTGGCTGCTCCCTGTGCCCCAGGCACCCACAGAAGTCTTAGCACAGCATGCCTTCCAAGTAGGTGTCACCCCTGTTTCTACCAGCAAGGAAGCTGAGAACCAGAGCGATGAACTGATGTTGCAAAGGCACACAGCCTTCCAGGGTCAGAACAGGAACCCAGGACCCTGGCTGCATTGGCCCTGATGGCAGCAGGCCTCGCTAAGGCAGGAGGCTGGCTGGGTTGACCTTGGACAAGGCTGGGGGAGCCTGCCCACCTCCCTGGGCCAGGCCCGGAGTAACTCAGGCCTTGGCTGCTACCCACTCTAGGAGTGGAGTTGGCTGTGTGCCGCCCCTGCCAGGCCTGGATTCTTTTCCAGGGAGAAAGAGGAGGCTGGCCTCAGCCTGGCTCCGTGGGACATGGGGGAGAACAGGTGTGGGTTTCTGCTTCCAGGTCCTCGGGTCACCACTACCCTGTGTTCATGAGAGGTCTAACGGGCCCAGTGGGTTTGACTCTGTTCCTTTGTCAGAGGCCAGTCAGGGGTTATCTCCCTGTTTCCTTGCCAGAGCTCACCAGCTGGGGTTCAGAGGGGTGCTATGGTTTCCCCAGGATCACAGAGCCGAATCTGGGGCTGAGCCAAGAAGCCTCCCCCGTGCTGTGTGGGTCATCTTCCTCTGTGGCTGTGGGCAAGTTATCTAACTTCTCTGGAGCATTTTCCATGGCTATAAAATGGAGATCATGGCACCTATCTCTTGGAGTTGTAATAAAGATTTATCGTGAACGCCTGGCACAAGTTCATAGACTTAGGTCACCTGGGTGTCTTCATTCTTTCATGTGCCTTAAATTGCTTTTGGTTTGAGCAGAGGTGGTAGCAAAAGCACCCTGACATGGATAACTTTGACCCTAGGGACAGGCCTTCTCTCTGTGTCGAGCCACACCGCCGGCACAGTGTAATAAGGGGGAGAAGGGGACAGTCCTCTGAGAAGTGGGAGTCCCTACGCCCTTCCTGGTGCTACCTATAGGCAGCCTGGCTTTCGGGATCCTGATTGCTCTATACTGTGCCACACACTCATAATAATCTTTCTTAACCATTTGCATCTGGGGTCAATGAAGAGGCTGTCCAGGCACCCCCACCCCCAGCCCCAGGGGCATGAGGACCAGCATTTCCTTCCAAAGTGCTGAAGAAATTCCCAGGGTTGACATCTAGTGCTGCAAAGAGTTCCTGAGAATTCCCCACTCTATCTCCCAACCCTGGGAAGCAGCTTGGCTGGCACCCCAACTGTACCTGGTTCTTTACCAGCATCTGGGGGCAGAGACAGCAGAACACAGCTCACCGCATTCCAGGCACTGTGCTGAGGATTAGCTTATTTTTTTTGCATGGAAGCCATATAAGGGCATCAGGCCACAGAGAGGACAGGGATGTGTAGGAGTCTGCAGCTGGGCTGAGCAGCAAATGCTCACTGTCACTGAACGCCAGGTGCCAGGACACCTCTCAGGGCTTCTCAGCACTCACAGGCTGAGAGCCAGAGGGACCTGCCCAGAGGACTGTGAATGGGGACATAGATGCCCCACTTCATCTTCTTACTCCCCTTGGGTGGCCAGGTTCTGGCCTCTTTCTCCAAGTGACAGCTGGCTTCCTCATCTGCAGAATTATCAGAGGGGCGGGAACATGGTGGCTTTGCTCCAGAGGCCCTGAGCATGAGACTCTGGTCCCTATGTGTGATGACACCAGGGCACTGGCTTTGGGGCTGCTGGCCCAGGGGTCTGTGTTACGGGCCTCACTCAGGGCAGGTCCCCAGAGCCCAGGGTCAGAGCAGCCACCAGGGCAGAGCCAAGGCTTAGAGCGCATTTTGGCAGAGCCAGAGTAGCAGCCTCTGACCTGCTGCTGCGTTAGGCGGAGGAGGGGGTCGGGGATCTGCAGCCAGCTGTGGGAAGCTGTGTCGCACAAGGCTACCTCCCTGTGTTCATTCTTGTCACCAAATGCTTGGACGATCACTTGAGGGCGCCCTTCTGTTTCTCCTTGTGAAATGACTTTGGCCTCTCTGGGCTGTGACTGGCTCATCTGGGCAGAGGGAGGTGGAAAATAAATCAAGCTTTACCCGTCAACAGAATACCACTCAAGGGTTAAGCATGATGGGGTAGGTCAGTGTGTTCTGACATGGGAAGATGGCCACCATATACTATTCAACAGTAAAAACTAGGACACAGTAGAATTTATGATTCAATCACATAAAAATAAAAGAGTTAAATTTATTTATTTATTTATTTATTTATTTATGTATTTATTTATTTTTGTGGTGCTGGGGATGGAAGACAGGGCCTTGCATGTGCTAGGCAAGGACTCTACCTCTGAGCTACATCCCCAGCCCCTTTCCTCCACTTTTAAAAAAAGTTATTTTGAGACAAGGTCTTATTAAATTACTCAGGCTGGGCTTAAACTTATGATCCTCCTGTCTCAGTCTGCCAAGTGGCTGGGATTATAGGCATAGGCCACTGGGCTTAGCTATGACATTTTAGCAAAATAAATTCATGTGTGTGATAATATGTGCAAAGAACAAGTATGTACACATTAGGACGAATGTAGATACGTGTTTCTATTAACACACTGCCCCAGGGTGGGAGTGGATTTGTGGTTTGTATCTTCAGTGTCCACTGGCTGCACAGAGCTCCTGTAGTTTTTCAGCCTCAAATCCAACCACCTCTCTGAGGCTAGGCAGACACTCAGCAGGCCCAGAGCGGAAGCCCTGACACCAAGGAGGTAGCTGTGTGAAGGTGACAAGAAGCTCAGTGTGGTGGTGCTTGAAGCCACTGGATGAGTGAGGGCCGGTGAATGATGAGGGGCCTGACCTGCAGGCACAGGCAGTCACTGGCAGCGAGGCACCCTCTGACCTCCCGCAGCCCTCACTCCCTGCTTCTCACTCCATCCGGTGTTGAGATCCAGCTGACTCGCTCACAAGACTGTTTCTCCTCCGGCTGTAAAGCTTGTGACCCCCAAGTGCTAGAAAAGGAAAATACAGCCACTACTTTTCTACAGTTAACTAAATGACTGTCAATGGTGGGGTAAGCGGGAGAAAGTCAGAACGTGATGCTTTGGATACAGTTTACCCTCGTCTGCACTAACCCAGGGGTAACCTTGGCGGTGGTTTCCTTGCTGGTTCTGAGTGGGCTGGGTGGTTTTCTGTGGCAGACTCAGGTCCCTAATTGTGCTGACTGTCAGCCCTGTGTGCACATATCCTCAGGTACACTGTGCTGGTGTTGGGGGTCTGCAGGCCCAGCTGGCAGGGGCAGAGGAACTGGGATTGGGGGAGAACTTGATGTCCATGGTTCCTCAAGAGCTTTCAGAAGAAACTTCTAGGGGTTTGTTTTTTTAAACATGCAGGGCACTCATAGTCTAAAAACAGATCTCCATCCCTGATGTAAATGTAACATGCCAGCCTAACAGCGGTGGGGGAGACGCAGTCCCGGGATCGGAGCTCTCCTTCCTGTGGAACTGGCCCTTCTTGAAGGCCTGGGTTGAGTGTTAAGGCCTGTCCTGGGCTCCCCATGGCGCGGTGGTGGTGCAGGGCCTCCCCTATCCTAAGCTGCTCAGGGATGGAGATGATGTTTCCTCCCTGGTTGGAGGCTCCTGGTGACCCTGGGGAGTCCCTCAGATTCAGGAGGACTCTGCACAAGGGGGGGACACTGTGGTGACAGGAACACGATGTTGGGGTGGTGATGTGGGAAGACGGGAAGCAGACCCCGGCACCTCCTGTCCATCGCGTCCTCAGGGGTCCTTGGTGCAGTAGGTGTAGTGATTGAAACTGGTAGTGGCTGGGGAATGGGGCATGGATCCTGGGTTCAAATCCTGCCTCTTTTACTTCAAGTCTTTGCACAATTTCTTCATCTGCAGCACGGGATTGTGCACATACCGTAGAGTGCTGGCACCGGTTAACCTGCAGAGAGCCTTTGCTAAAAGCAGCTCTCCAACGTCGGTGAAGAACGGTGGCAGAATATGGCGCCGCAGAGCCTTGATTCCTGACTCACCGCCCTCTCTCCCCTGTTCCAGGTGCGACCATCCAGGAGCCGGCTGCAGGATGCCCCGGTGGTGTGGATGAGCTGCATCCAGCCAAGCCGGCCCAGGCTCGCATGCCGCCGCCTGGGGCTCCGCGCCAGCGCCCCTAGTCTCCTGACCCGGAGCCTCCAGCCGCCCATTCCCTCCTGGCCGCCCCGGGGTGCGGAGGAGGAGGCCCAGGGGTGAGCTCCCCGTGCCCGCGGAGCGAGCAAGCAACCAAGCAGGCAGCCGACGGCGGAAGGACCGGGAACAAGGAGCTTCGCGGCCGCCCGATTGGAAACATTTTCCCCAAGCGGCTGCACAAAATGACCAGCCTGTTCCGCAGGAGCAGCGGGGGCGGCGGAGCCGGGGCGCGCGGGGCCGGGGCGGGGAGCGGGGGTGGCGCCGCGGGCCCGCAGGAGCTCAACAACAGCCGGCCGGCCCGCCAGGTGCGCCGCCTGGAGTTCAACCAGGCCATGGACGACTTCAAGACCATGTTCCCCAACATGGACTACGACATCATCGAGTGCGTGCTGCGCGCCAACAGCGGCGCGGTGGACGCCACAATCGACCAGCTGCTGCAGATGAACCTGGAGGGGGGCGGTGGCAGCGCCGAGGAGGACAGCTCCGACTCGGAAGATAGCATCCCCCCGGAGGTAGGGTGCAGTGGGCGCGGCCTTTAGAGGCCCGGGGCGACTCCCCTGCCTAGGTCTAACCCGCAAGCAGGCCTCCTTCCCCTTGGGAAATAGAATCAAGCCTTAGTTTAATGGGCAGAAATCGTGCAGTCGATCAACAAACACTGAGCTCTCCTGGTGCAACAGGCAAGAGCCTGGATCAGGGGTCATCAGAATCAAGGTGCTTGTTAAAAATACAGATGCCTGGGTTACACACCGAGTCCCAATTCCAGGCCCAGAGTCTTCTAATGTATCCTTTTAAAGAAAGGCTCTTGACCTCGTGGTGTGTACCTTGGCCAAGTCAGAAAGTTCGTGCCCTCCCAGGGCACAGACCAGTAGGGACTGGAGGCAAGAGTTGGGGAGATGAGAGGATCTCAGCCTGCACCAGACACCAGCGCTTTGGAGGCGGCATCTCTCTGTTCCCCCTGTGCCACACGCGGCATCCAGGACAGTCCAGACACGTAGCAGGCACGCAGGGAATGTTTGTCCAATGAATAAATGTTGCCACTGTATTTGCACAACTTTCTATCATCTCTTATTGAGCTGCCTGGATTGGCCAGTGGAGGGGGTATTGGAAAGCCCAGATCCTCCTTGTGGGAAGGAGGTGTGTGTGTGTGTGAGTGTGAGAGTGTGTGTGAGTGTGTGTGCAATACATTTTTTCAGTGTGAGCTGGAAAGCTCCCTGCAGTGTCTCACTCTGCAGTCTCTTGGTCCTAACAGTCTGACAAGCAGGATCTTCCTCCTTTATCCGTGTTGCCCACAACCCTGTGGCTCCCTGGTCGGTCCCTCTGACACCCACACTGTGTGTGACTTCTTCTCCTGAGACTTGCTGTCCAGTGGAGACCCTCCTTGCACACTGCCCTCCTGGACTCTTCCCAGCTCCCCCTCTGGCGCCCTGGCTGGGCCCATGAGCAGCCAGCTCTGAGCCCCGCCAGTGAGAAGTCTGCAGAAAATTTACAAGCAGCAGCTGGAGCGACAGTAACTGCTGACTGGAAAGACCCCCTCTCGGGGTGATGGGTGGCAGGCCGGCCCAGGGGTGCCCTTGCCACAGGGAATTGTCTCCTGCCAGATAAATGTCCCAGAGCCTGTCCCCCACCCCTGCACCTGGCCAGCATCTGTTACCCACAGTGAGTTAAGCAGCCCACAGGGCCAAAAACCCCAGTACCCTAGGGCCAGAACAGGCTCCCTGTGGCTGGTCGGGTGGCAGAGGAGGCCAGAAGGGACTGGGACTGGGGCCGCCTTTCTGGAGCTCACCTGCCTCTGAGATGTACATGGCGTTGTTCCTCCCCAGGAGGCTCTGGATGGCCTCCTCTGCCCCTGCAGGATGCACTGGGGAGCCCTTGGCCTGATCTCCCTCTGGGGTCTGGGAGTTTGACTCCCACAGGCAGTCAGTGGAGGAAACCAGGACAGCTTCCTCTGGAAACAGTTCCCACCAGTTCTGCCCTCCGCCATGCCTCATGAGACCAGCCTCATGGGAACTGGCCAGGCCCTAGGCTGGGCCCAGAGCAGAGGAGTCTGGGTAATGAGTGTGTGGGCAGCCGGTGGCCTCAGCAAGTCCTCTTTGTGCCTCAGGTTCCCACGGAGCTGCCATGAACAGGAACAGTGCTCAGTGTCTCGATGTCTCTCTCTCTCTCTCTGTCTCCATCTTTCTCTCTCTGTCTATCTCTCTCTGTTTCCATCTGTCTCTCTGTGCTTCTGTCAGTCTCTCTTTCTCTCTTTCTGTCTCTTTCCCTCTCTCCCTCTCTTCCTCCTCATGGTAATCTGCCATAGACACAGCCCTGGCCCACAAAGCAGCTATATTCTTCTTTCCTGCAAAAGCATCTGTTTAAATACTTTCTGCCTCACAGGAAAGAGCGTTAGTGTATTCCAGGGCCAGAGGCCTCCTAGACATGTGCAAACTCTGCAGTGTGTGTGCGCTCACACGTGCGTGCTCACTGCCAGGCTCCCTGTGAAGCTGTAGGGCCGGGTACGGCGGGTCTAGACAGACATGTGTCCAGCCAGGCTTGCGGGGGGAGAAGCAGGGAGAGGCAGGTTTAGAAGTGACTTCTGAAAACTCACTTGGAGTTAAATGTGGACCCATCCACAGCCTCTGAGGCCCTCCCCGTTCTCGAGTCCTGCGGGAGTTGGGAAGAGCACTGAGGGGTGGAGGAGGATTGGCAGGTGACATGTAGACCATCGGGACGTGTGATGAGGGATCTCCTGCGGCAGATGCCTCTGGCGACATCTGGGGAGAGGCCTAGCTCAGTCCTGGCCTGTCCCTGTCCCTCTTGCTGGCTCCTGGGTAAGACAGGAAGCTGGATGGGAGAGCTGGCTTCTAGCCTCTGTGCACCCTGACAATGTAAGCTGGGTGTGGGGCTTTGCCCCTGAAGGAAGGACCCTAGCTGTGGGAGCAGGTTTCCAGTTAAAGACTCAGTTTCATGTTGCTTAGTCAACCTGTGTCTCAGGTTCCTCCTCTGTGAAAGGGGTAGGGTCCACATCCTACCTTGCCAGGCAGTCTGAGGTAAGACAATAGATGCAGAAGTATTTTTGAAGAGGATATGGGTGACGTTTCTCCAGTGAAAGAGGATGAGAATCACAAGCATGCAGCTGGGTGAAGCTTCACGGCACAGTGTCACACCCAGATCAAGGGACATTCAGGGAGCAAGAGCCCTCAGTGCCCTGCCCACAGAGTGAGGCTGCTGCCCCCTAACCTTGGCCTGGTCTTGAACCTCACTTGGGAGGCTGATGCTGCTATGAACATTCCTCTGGGGACATGTGCTTTCATGTCTGCTGGGGCTGCAGCAATGGTGGGAACAGAGGTTGCCACAGGTTCAGGCTTAGCAGACAAAACCCATTTTCCAGAGAAGCGGCTGTATCAAGTTCCACTCCCACCAGCAAGGCACATGTGTGCCTCATTACACATCCTCGCCCACACTTGGTTTTGTCTCCGTGCCATTTGGATTCCAGGAAGGCTTCTTAATATGTCTTTCTTTGTCGTCTCTGATTTAGATCTTGGAAAGGACTTTGGAACCCGATAGCTCCGATGAAGAGCCCCCGCCTGTGTACTCCCCGCCAGCCTACCATATGCACATGTTCGACAGGCCTTACCCTCCGACGCCACCGCCCCGGTGAGGATCCGTCTCTCTCTGAGCACAGGGGAGTAGGGAGGGTTCGGCTGGGGCTGTGTACAGACACTGCAGGAAACGTGGCTGGATCTCTCCCTGTACGATTCCACGAAGAGCAGGCTCCTACAGCGGCAAGAGACGCCTGGGCTCGATAACACGGAGAACTTTCAAAATGTCCGGATTGCAAGAGCAAACATTTAAATTCCTACTCCAGGCTAGGCAGGGTGTCACGTGCTGCATGCTCAGCCTCTGCTTTCTGGGGTTACAGAGATGCCACAGTAGGAAGGGTGACCCCACGGAGGGTGCACTGACCCCCGCCCCCCGCCCCCGAGCCTGAGGAAACATTTCTGATTAATCCCTGTGCTCTTTCCTGCTGAGTCAGGATGGATCTCGAAGCCCCTCCACACAGCTCTCTCAAGTAGTCATCAGTAACTGACAGAATTGCTGTCTCTTGTCCTCTCTGGGCCAGAGAGGTTGTGGGGATTTTTTTTCTCTGGTATTGGGGACCAAAAGCAGGGCCTTGTACATTCTGTTCAAGCTCTCTACCACTGAGCTATACCTCAGCCTTTTTTATTTTATTTTGAGACAGGCTTTTGATAAGTTGCCCAGGCTGGCCTCAAACTTGTGATCCTCCTGCCTCAGCCTCCCGAGTCTCTGGGATTAAAGGCATGCACCGCTGTGCCCAGCAATCTTAAGGGGATTTTTTTATTTATGTATTTATTTTTTTGGTACTGGGGAATCGAATTCGGGTCCTTGCACTTTCGAGGCAGGTGGCAGAACCACTGAGCTAAATCCCCAGCCCTTAGGGGGATTTTTTAAACAGTGGGAGTAAATCCCTTTTTCAGCGATAGTTTGATAACTGGAGGCAGGAGAGTGGAGTGTGAGGTCCCTGGAGACTTTTTCCAGGTTAAGGATTCTGTGAATGGAAGCTTGAAATGAAGCTGGCGGCCAGCAGGGTCCTGTGGGTCTTCGAGGTCCTTGTTTTCCTGGGCTCCGCATTTGTAGTGGACTGTGGGCTCTCGGAGCCTAGGTGTTGTCTCTTTGACCCTGAACTGCTGTTTTTACAAGGACTCAGGCCAGGTGGGGGATCTTGGGAGCCCCTGAGCCATGGTGCTGGGGAATCGTGTCATCTATCACGCAGGTATAGCTACAAAGAACCACTGCCATTTACCAAGCACCCTTCAAACGCCTGAAACTTCCAAGGTTCCTTACCCAATGACTTATGAGGTGGCATTGTCAGTACCCCTATTGTACAGATAGCTGACAGGTGGGATTTGAATCCAGATCTTTTGGATTTCAAAGCCAATTACTCTTTCTGCCCAGTGAGGACTCTCGGACTGTAGCTTAGGGACCAGTTGAAATCTAGAGAGTTACAGAGTGCAGTGTTTTGAGGTAGGATCTATTAAAAGTGTACAGAAGGCTAGGGATTTAGCTCAGTGGTTCCGTTGCCTGCCTCGAAAGCGCAAGGACCTGAGTTCGATCCCTGGTACAAAAAAAAAAAGTGTACAGAAGGCCGGGGATTTAGCTCAGTGGTTTCGCCGCCTGCTGTGCAAGCGCAAGGACTCGAGTTCGATCCCCGGTACCAAAAAAAAGTGTACAGAAGATGCCAGGCTGTGCTGGGGTGGGAGGTAAGGAATAAGTGGGTAGTCTGGTGAAACCTGGGCAGGACCTGCATGTTCTAGTGGGTCACAATTATTTCCCCCTCTCTTTTTTTGGGGGGGTGGGGGACTGGGGATTGAAACCAGCAAGCACTGAGCCATATCTCCAGCCTTTTCAATTTATTTTATTTTATTATTTTGGTACCAGGGATCGAACTCAGGACCTTGCGCTTGTGAGACAGGCATCGGAACCACTGAGCTAAATCCCCGGCTCACCTTTTTTATTTTGAGATAAACTCTTTTCCAGGCTGGCCTTGAACTTTTGATCCTCCTGCTTTCCAGAGTGCTGAGAATATAGGCAAGTGCCACTAGTGCCTGGCTTTGACTTTTTTTTTTTTAGTATCTCAAGATAACTTTTGCACAAAGTTTAGTTTCTGTTAGGCAAAATGGTTCTGGCTGTTTTTCTGAAAAGAAAACCAAGGCTGTGGGAGTAAATGGCAGCATAGACCTAGGGTGGGTGTGTCCCGCCTCATTCTTCCTCCCATGCTCTGCTGTGGGTGAGGTAGGGCCAGGGGCAGGGGCAGTGCAGCCCACTGATGGGAGCCTCACTTAGACCAAGGCCCAGGGGGCCTTATTTAGACCCTGTGGGCTTCAGCCAGCTGTTGTCCTTGCCTGGACCTGACTCAGGAACCTCAGCTGTGCTGTGTGGGGAACGGGCACATTGAAGGGAACTTGACTCCCCCTTCTTTTTTATTTTTGGTACTGGGGATCGAACTCAGGACCTTGTGCTTGCAAGGCAGGTGCCAGAACCACTGAGCTAAATCCCTGGCCCTGACTCCCCCTTCTTTTGCTGCCAAACTTCTGATGTATCTGCTGTCTCTGCTGTCTCTGCTGTATCTGCTGTATCGCTTCATTAGCTCATCTGGGAAATGGGGTTACTAACTTGCCCCTCAGGACTGAGCTGTTGTATGTGGAGCACTTAGTGCAGTGCTGGGGACAGAGCAGACCTATAATCATCGGTTTACTGCTCTTCCTGCCTTAGCTGTGTTGGCTGACCTTGAAGGTCAGCTCCAACTCTGAGATGGAGACCAGTGCTGAGGCTTCCCCAGGCTCTCGGCATGCACCAGCAGTAGGGCCAGCCCCTGAGCGTTGCACCTTTGCTCTCATGGTCTGCCAGGCTCAGATTTGCCTACCCCAGGTCACTCGAGGGCCCCTTCCTGTCTCTGTATCCAGGACATTTCATTTCCAGCATTTATCACAGATGAGCAGACTGCCATATCCCCTCACTCACACCCCAAGGAGATCAGAGTCCAGGGAGCATAGACACAGGGATGGGGAGCTGCTAGAGGAACTGCTGTCCACGCTGTGAGCTGAAGGCCACACACCTTGGCATCAGCCTAATGAAGTAGTGGACAGGAGGACGTCCCAGGCACAGGAGACAGACAGCATGTGCGAAGGCCTGGGGGCAGGAGAGGTGCATCTGGGAACTGCTGGAATATGGAGAGCTGGGCGAGGCTGGAGAGGCCAGCAGGTGGTGGGGGCTTCCATCTTACCCTGCAGCCACGGGGAGGCCCTGAGAGGCTTTCAGTGGTATGGTCAGACTCTCCCACCTGCTGAGAGGGGTCAGTCTTGAAGGAGGAAAATGGTCTGACCCCTCAGTCTCTGGGTGTCTGTGAGGGTGGGCTGAGTTTGGAAGCTTGGACATTGCCCCACGAGGCAGGGCCTTCCCAGAGAGCAAGCCTGGAACATCGGGATCCCTGCATCCTGGAGGACTGATGTGCCTTGGACAGGGCCTGTCCCATGCGGACTTCAAAAATCCCCAGCAGGGCCGGGGATTTAGCTCAGTGGTTCCACCGCCTGCCTTGCAAGCGCAAGGACCCGAGTTCGATCCCTGGTACCAAAAAAAAAAAAATCTCCACCAAAATCCCCACCAAAAATCCTGCTGTTCAACCTCCTGTCTCTGAAGTCCTTGGCAGCCAGGTCTGACACTCGGTAAACTTGGGTCTGATGGAGCCTGAGGTTCTGGCTTTGGGGTCCAGAGGCTCTGGCCAGGAGATCGGCCCCACCCTGCAGTCTTTCCCCTCCCCCAGCCTGTCCCTCCTTCCCTCTGTCTGAAAGTCTCTGAAGTCCCAGAGACCCCTCCATACCGGCCGCCTGCTGTTCTTGCATTGGAATTACAGCCTTGGAAGTATTTTATTTGCCTCTCAGCTCATTTCTGACATTCCTTTCCAACCACAATGGAGTTTCCTAGGCTGCCACGGTCTGCTCCCCCTGCCCTTGCAGCTGTGGCCTGCCCGCATCTCTGCCCCGACCAGTGCCAGGGCTCGGGGTCCGATGGGGCTGGGCTTGTCCTTCCTCTAGCACCCTGGACCCAGCAGGAAGGAAGACTCAGTGGGAAGCAGGGGCTCCTCTACCCCGACCCCTCCGGCTTGGGTCATTTGGTGACAGAGTGGCTGGAGGGGCCCAGATATAGCTCTGCAGCTTTCTGGGTGGCCCCAAGGTGTGGCTGAGTTCAGGATGGGCACCTGTGTCCCCAGATGAAGACCCTGGGGCCCAGTGCAGGGTCATGACCCTAGAGAATGTTTCTCCCAGCTGTGGCCAGAGGTGGTCTTCAAGGCCCTGAGAGCTGGGGTGTCCTCTTGGGCCTGGAAGGAAAGCAAAGCCTATGACAGGGACAGAAGGCTGCCCTCTCCGAGGGTTCCCTGGCCTCTACTGTGAGAGGGTGGCCGCATGCGGGGTTCCCTTGGCTCCAGGCTGCCAGGCTGAGTTCCCACCATGCTCCTAGCAGCTGGTGATCCGTCTGCTGCCTCCTCTTCTCTCTCGCCCCCGGCGGCCACTGGCCCAAAATAGAAAAGGAAAGGAAGTTATTTCCACAGTCCTAGAGCCCGGAAAAGCTCCCCTCCAGTGAGGGGGCGGGCGGGATTCCTGGAGCTGGAGGCCAAATCAAAGCCAGGCTGAGCAGGAGAGAGCCCCTACCACCCCTGGCCCGCAGCTGCCTCCTCAGTGTGTCATTTCCCCGATTCAGCAGAACACGTGTCCTGCGGCTGCCACGCGGCAGGCGGCCTCGGAGGAACTGGGGGAGCACCTGGCCGGGCTCCAGGCTGCCCTCAGGCCTGGGGAGCATCGCCACACAGCGGCCCCTGTCCTGGCACAGACCTCCTGCTGCACACCTTTCCTGCAGCCAAGCTGGCTGTTGGTGGCTTCTGTGTCAATACTTCATTTAGATTTCAGTTTTCTTTTTTTTTTCATACCTGCGGGGATTGAAGTCGGGACCTTGCGCTTACGAGGCAGGCAGCAGCACCACTGAGCTAAATCTCCGGCCTTGTACTTCCTTTATATTGTGCTAGGTATAAAGGACATGACCCCTTGATTACAGGGAACATTCATAAACATTTATGTCTAAATCTACAAGCTTGACAATAGTACCAGGAGCAGAGTTCCAGTGCCCTGGAGGGCCTCTGAGTAGACAGCAGTGACAGTCACCTGAGCCCAGGGCCAAGGCCAAGGGCCAGGACTGAGCCAGGCTGACTGAGAAGAGCCTCCTGTGATGAAAGCAAAGCCTTTGTCTAAGGCAGCAGGGGCCCTGGGAAGCTCTGAGCAGGATCCTGCCTGCCTGGAGGACGAGTGTGAAGAGGCGGGGAGGCCCATGCTCTGGCCTGACTGCTTGTTCCTCCTCCTCACCTTCCACCCCCAGGACTGATGTGCTGGGCTCTGGGCCCTCTGCAAGCCAGAGGCACTATCGGAACTGGAACCCACCCCTACTGGGCAACCTCCCTGACGACTTTCTCCGAATCCTGCCCCAGCAGCTGGACAGCATACAGGTAACGGGCTGCACCCTGCCCCGCCCCTGGCCCGCCTGCCTGTCTAGTATCTCTTCACCCACATGATTTGTGCCAGCCTGTTTTGCTTCCTGGTCATTAATCTCAGGCTGAGTTATTTCTGTTGCCCTGGCTTTGCAGACAAAGAATGCCCAACCGGAAGCCTCACTTTCTGTCTGGACCTGGAGGTTTCCTGTTCTGCCAGGGAGAAGTGACAGCTGGCTACAGCTCTCACCTCAGGATGGAGGGAGGGGGCTTGGGGCAGCCAGTGGCTCTTGTCTCTTGGGAAAGGGCTGGGGTAGCTTCTCCCCAGACCCTGACAGATCCTAAAGTGTCCCTGCAGAGCATGTGTGTCACCCTGCAGAGCGACTGCACAGGGAGAGGTTGGAGTTTGAGTGCCCATATGCAGGCTGTTGAGCAGTGTGCAGATGGGTTTTCAGGAGCACACAGGTTGTGGATGAAGGAATGAGGGGGTCTGAGGTCTCAGGGAAAGATAATTTTTGAGCTCTTGCAGCTTCCACAGCAGAGTGGTGGGCTCAAGCATCCTGGGAAAGGGTATGTGTGCATGTAAATGTGCATATAAGTGTGGATGGATGTGTGTGCAGTGTGTGCCTTGTGAGGAAGCATCAGCATGCTCCTCCCTCAGGGTAACTCCCGGTGTGCCAAGTCTGTGAGCAGAGAGGGAGGCCTGCCTCCCACAGCTGGAGACCAGGACAGCCGCTGGAAGCAGTACCTGGAAGATGAGAGGATCGCACTCTTCCTGCAGAATGAGGAGTTCATGAAGGAGCTGCAGCGAAACCGAGACTTCCTCCTTGCCTTGGAGAGAGGTGGGCATCTGTGGCTCGGATGGGCACTGCGGCCGCTGCCCCAGGGCTGGAGAAGGAAGGGCTATGGGCTTCTGCCGTGGGGCTCAGGGTGCCAGCACTTATGTACTGCTAGAGCACAGCCCACACCAGCAATCCTGGGGAAGCCCCAGAATTCTGCCCATGTGGACCTGGCTCACCAGACACCCTCTTCCTCCCTTGGGACTCACAGGAGGAGGGGTGCACCGCCCCCATCTGCTGTGTGCTCAGCACTGGCCTTGGCTTGAGGGGACAGGATGTTGCCTTTCCTCCCTGGGCTCTAGCCACAAGGATGATGGGACAGCCTGGAACTTCGGGGACACAGTGACCGGCGCCACCACAGCCAGAGTGGGGGCTCCTTGCATGGAGCATGCTAGGGCAGGGCATTTGGGTGATCTTTGGGGGGGTACCTTGCTCCCCAGCCTGGCTGCTTTTCTCCTTCAGGATAGGGGGCTTCCTGGGCTGGGTACAAGAGGGCTGTGGAGGTTGTCTTTTGCGGGTCATGGCCTATGTGTGTGGGTGGGGAGGAGCAGCAAGAACAGGGCCTAAAGAGGGGATCCAAAGGCAGGCTGTGCAAAGGCTGTGGAGGTCTCAGGGCCTTTCCTTTTTAAATCAGGACACTGGGGAGCCAGGTATGGTAGCCCACGCCTGTAATCCCAGCACTTGGGAGGTTGAGGCAGGAAAATTCCCATGAGTTTGAGGCCAGCCTGGGCTATATAGTGAGTTCAAGACCAGACCCAACTACATAGCAAGACCCTATCTCAAAAAGCCAAAACAAACAAACAAACAAATAAAAATCAAGGTATTGGACTCTCTCGGCCACCATCAGATTCTGACTTTTTAACATTTTAGGTAGTTGTCAGGTAGTGGTTTCTATGTTACCACTTGTACTTGTATCGTTTGTGTGCACATGTATGCTTGGCTGTCATTCTAGGGGCTCAGCCTCCTCCGTCTTTGAGTGTACCTCTGGGAGCCAGGAGCTCGCTTCCCTAACAGAAATGTGGTACTTTTCCAGATCGATTGAAATATGAGTCCCAGAAATCCAAATCCAGCAATGTGGCTGTGGGAGACGACTTTGGCTTTCCCTCTTCTGTCCCAGGTAACCTTGCTTTCCGGGGAACACACCCCAACTTTGCTTTGAATATTTGGAGTTTGGAGGTAGGCTTTGAAATAGAAAGAGGTGGGGTCCTGAGGCCCCTCAGCAAGCTGGAAGGGATGGTGCTGCTCCCTTCTCAGCATCTGCTGTGGAGCGAGGAGTCCCCTCACCGAGCAGCCCTGGGTCCTCGCTAGCCTGGGCCTATGGTTAACACAGGTTGGCTGAGCTCCCAGCCTGTGCCTGGTGAGACACGTTTCACCACATAATGTCCCTTGGTAGGACATGGGGGCAGGAAGGTCTCCGAGACTTACGAGGCCTGATCTCTGTCCTGTAGAAGCTCATGGTCCTGTAAGGAACTATGTCCAAGAAACAGGTAGAACACAGCAGCAAAGCTGAGGATGCACATTTAAAATGGTTTTTTTGGCAGTACTGGGGATTGAACACAGGTCCTTGGACATGCTAGGCAAATGTTCTGCCACTGAGCTACATCCCAGTCTCTTTTTATTTTATTTATTAATTTATTTTTTGGTACCGGGGATCAAACTCGGGTCCTTGTGCTTGTGAGGCAGGCGGCGAAAACACTGAGCTAAATCCCTGGCCCTATTTTATTTTATTTTATTTTGAGACAGGCCCTTGCTAAGTTGCCCAGGTTGGACTCAAACTTGTGATCCTCCTGCCTCTTGAGTGCCTGGGGTTATAGGCATGGACCACCATACCTAGGACACATTTGCTGATTATAGAGAATGCATGGAGAGGAGGAGGAGAAGGAGGAGGAGGAGGAGGAGGGTGAGATTCATCCAGGAAGAGTTTGTTCATTCATTTATCAAGTAGCTGGGAAATATTTGCTGTGGGCTAAGCCCTGCTCTAGCTGTTAAATGAAGAGAAATTTCAAGCTTTGAGTACAAGGTCATGAAAACAAGAATTGCCTGAAGAGTAGGCCAGGCCTTTGTGCCAGGAGCCTTCTGGCTGAAGGGGGCCCAGGGCATGGGACACATGGACTGGACAGCAGAGCCAGAGCTGGGAACCCTCAACATCTGGACTCTGCTTCTGTGTGGGCACAGTGTCCCCTGTTTGGTCACTGCCCTGCCCCACACATACACAAGCTGCCCAGGCACAGAAAAGCTCAGCAGCCTTTGCCTGGAACAGCATCCATGGTGCACTGGAGTGGGGTGTGCAGGGGCAGCAGGGTGGGGGCTCAGCTCACCCAGTCTGAAGAGAGAAAATCCCACAGCCAGCAGCTTAGGCCCCAGCAGATTCGCATCTGGGCATTTTCACAGAGCCTCTTGTCCCTGATCCTGAATTAACCAGAGACACCAGGGCTGCTGAGGTGGATCAGAATGACTCAGAGGGGACTTAGCAGGCAAGGTGACTTGGGATTAGTTACAGGATGGAGAATGTGGCTTTAAAAGGGCAAGGAGAGGGCCGGGGATTTAGCTCAGTGGTTCTGCCACCTGCCTCACAAGCACAAGGACCCGAGTTTGATCCCCCGTACAAAAAAAAAAAAAAAAAAAGGCAAGGAGGGACCCACGCAGGGCTGGTGAACCAGGAGGGGCTCCGGTTCCTGGCCGCACCCCATTCCCATTCCTGCTTAGAGTCCTGGAGCTCATGAGGGAGGGCTGACCCTCAGAGGAAGAAGGGAAGCTCACCAGGTGTTTGACACACGCCCATAGATGCGGGCAGAATGGTTAACAGTGGCTCTGGTGCAGGGGAAGCCTGGCTTGTAGTGCCAGGCGACTTCTGTGATGTAAATACCCCTGCCACAGCTCAGACTACCAGTGTGACTTCACGGGCTGTGGAATTGCTGTGAGGAGTGGAGAGCCGGGACTCCATGCCAGCCGGCTTCCCACACATGCCGCAGATCATGAGTGTCCCCGTTTTCAGCTAGCTCGGGTGGCACACACTTGTAATCCCAGCATTTTGGGAGGCTGAGGCAGAAAGATTGCAAGTTTGAGTCCCACCTGGGCAATTTAGTGAGACCCTGTCTCAAAATAAAAATTAAAAAAGGCTGGAGATGTAGCTCAATGTGAAGGCCCTGGGTTCAATTCCCCCTCCCCTCAAAAAAGAAAGGGTCCCCATTTTCACAGAGGAGGAAAGCATGGTTTGCCAGGGGAAAGAAGTGCTCCTGCAATCCCAGGTGTCCTGCTGGCTTTAACCTCGCTCCTGGTTAAGGGAAGAAGCCTGCATCTTTGCTGCAATGGGAGGATAGGGCTCAAAGGGCCACCGTGGGGAATGCCCTGCCCCACCTCCCTGGGGCCTCGGTCTTCCTCTCTAACGGGACCTCGGAGACCCCGTCCCTCAGCAGGTGTTTCCTCCTTCTAGGAAACAGTGATGCCAACCCTGCTGTGTCTGAAGATGCCTTATTCCGGGACAAGTTGAAACACATGGGAAAATGTGAGTCCTCCCTGTGGCCCCCGCCCCGTTTTCCCAGCTCTTGGGCGGCAGGCAGGGTTTTGAATGCCACTGACTCTGGGTAAACTGGAGTGACATTTTAATCGCAGGCTGGCTCCCTCAGCCTTCCTGCCTCACTTCCCTCTGCAGCTGAGTCTGGATACAAATTAAGTTTCAATCCTCTTGGGCCAGCTGTCTGCAGGAAAATAATGTGCCCCACATGGCCTCACCCGGATGTTGCCTTCACATTCCCCGTGGCTTGAGGCAGCTGGCCCTGACCGGCCATGCAGGGAGGCCCTTGTGAAACCCCTTTTCTGTGGGACAGGGAGCCGTCAGGGTTGGGGACCTCTCCCCTCAGTCCTTCGAGCCTTCAGAAGCGCTATCCTTCCAGGCTTCGTTTCAGGAAAAATCTCAGATTACTCATGGAAATCCCAGGACCAACTCTGGAGGTGGCTAAGGGAGGGGCAGGAAAGGAAGCCAAATGCTGCGCGACTGGCAGGCTGTCGCAGCTGGGGAAGGAATACCCGGATCTTGGCTGCCCAGGGGCCTTGGGCCTGGCTCCTAGCGGCCTCTGCTGCCCCTGCAGGCCGACCTGGGATTGGCAGCCTTGCTCCTGAGGTGCCGCCGGTGTCTGCCACTCCTGTCACCTCCCTCCCCCCAGCTCCCACCCCAGGGGGGCTCGTGCTGCCCTAGCCACCCCCAGACTTGGGGGAAGCCCATCTGGTGCCTCACTGCCAAGAGAATGAACGCTCACAGGTTTCTCTGCTCCAGCCACCCGGAGGAAGCTGTTTGAGCTGGCCCGGGCCTTCTCTGAGAAGACCAAAATGAGGAAGTCCAGGAGAAAGCACTTGCCCAAGCATCAGTCGTATCCTTCTGGCCTGGCATGGGTTGGGTGGTGGACTCTGCCTTGGTGTTCTGAGGCTGTGGCCTTGCCAGCAGTGTCATCGGGTTCTGCAGGCTTCTCTCTGCTCCATGCGCTGGGCTGCTTGGTTGCCACCCGTGTCCTGGAGCAGTAGGGCCAGGCTGGGGGAGCAGAGCTGAAGGAGGTTGTCTGCCCTATGATGGGGACAACGCCAATGCCAGCTTCTTCCTCTCCTCCTCTTCCTCCTTCCTGGGAGAAAAATTCTTTCTTCCATTGTGATCAGCAAACTTTCCCCTAATTTCTCCAGATGAACTGGTCCTGGGCCCTCACACCTCCTCATTTCGAGAGGCCCGCCTTCCCCTCTTCAGCCCCTTGAGTAGAAATGAGGTTTTCCATGTTTTTACCCAGATTCCCGTCCATGTTGTCAAACAGGGGGCCAGGATATTAGAAGCTGAACATCCACAGAGGAGCAGGGAGAGAGTCCCTCTCCTACTCCCGGAGATGGGGCCCAGGGGCCAAGGGTCAGGGCTTGGCTGCTCTGCTGGCCCCAGGAAAGGAGACTGGAGGGGCAGTGTTGGGGTGTTGAGGAACAGATGGAGGCCTCCTGAGCTTGGGGTGGGGCAAGGCAGGGCGTAGGTAGAGCTGGGTGGGTTCTGGCAGTGCGGGTCTCCCTCCTGGATAGTTTTCCTGAATGGCTGGGTAGGCTGGGGCCCGCCGCATCCACGGCCAATCTCCTGGACGACGTGGACGGCCACGCTTGTGGTGAGCCAGGGAGCGGAACCGTCGGCTCCAGGGTGTCTGTGATGGGTGACACTGCAGGAGGAGGTCCTGGGTGTCCCAAGTCAGGGGCCATGTGCTGGACAGCTTCAGGCCTTTCAGCTTTCACCCAGTCTTCCAAAGCCACGGGACCAGAAGACCCTACAGAGCCCTACCCCCCTCAGATCCTGCCAAGCCACACACAGCTAAACCCTGATCCTCATGCCATGGGGCCCTTCAAGGCCAGGAGACATCCAGAGACAAGGACCAGAGGGCTTGGGGGTCCTCTGGATAGTCCAGCTTCCCCTCCCTTTTTTTTTTTTTTGGTACTGGGGCTCGAACTCTGGACCTTGTACTTGCAAGGCAGGTAGCGGAACCACTGAGTTAAATCCCCGGCTTCCCCTCCCATTTTACAGATGAGGAAACTGAGACCCAAAGAAGAGGAAAGAACTTGTCCAAGGCCCGAGAGTCAGGTCAGCTCCCAGGTGTCCTGCTGCCTCTCACTAGACACATGCATTGCCCACCTGAGCCAGCATGTGCCCCATTGGAGGAAGGGGGTGGTGGGTTCAGGGTGGAGGATGAGGTGCCTTCCCTCTGCTTTCAGATGAAGACTTCCGGGGAAGGCGGCAGGAGACACCCAAGATGGAGGAAGCCCTCAGAGAAGGACAGTAAGAGGTAAGTCACAGAGCCATGGCTGTCTGGGGCTGCCACACTTCACTTGTCTTTCTAGGGGAACAGAGGCACTGGGCTCAGGCAGCGGAACAGCACAGGTGCTCCGTCTCCTCCCTCCTCATTGTGGCCAGGGACGTGGGCTTCTGCATGGAGACTAATCTGTTGCATCTCTTTTATTTGGTTATTTACTCATTTGACAAAATATCATCACACCTGCCTTGGACAGGTGCTGGGAACAGGAGAACAGAATCAGCTCTTGACCTTGAATAGTCTACAGCTCCACTGAGAAGACAGTCCCGGACACACTCAGCACAGAGTGGACCATTTCAGAAAAAAATGAGGCACACATAGCACGATGTCCAGTCTTCCACTTGGGTTAGGTGGTCTGGGACCTGCCACACTGGAGGAGGAAATCCCACCTCCCCCGAGGCAGCTGCTTCCGGCAGGAGCTCTGAGACCCGGCTGCTTTTCCTCCCGTGTCCCTGTGCACCTACCTAGGGGACAGACGGGGAGAGCACGAGAGGCCTCCCACAGGACCCAGACACACAAGCCTCCCTCTCTCTCATCAGGAAGCTGCCTGCCCTGCCCCATCTCTGTCCTGGGCCCTGTGATCAGCATCTGCCCGGCTTTCTTGAGCTGTTGTGTGGCAGGTGCGGGGCTCAGGGTAGTGACGGTGGCAGTGAGATGCACCAGGTGCAGAGGACAGAGCCAGTAAATACAAGCTCCCTCCCTCCCCTTGAGCTGTCTCCCCACTATGCCCCTCCCCAGGCGCTTCCAGACCCCCTCATTTTCCCCAGCCTTGCCTCAGTCATCACAGAGCTACACCCCTGCATCCCACATTTCTGGGACGCCTGGATAGATAGATAAAGCCAGCCAGGGAAACACCTCCATCCCGATCCCATGTTGGAGTCATCTCCCACCCTGCTCCTCTCCACTGGTCCCCAGGGAGAGTGGGTCCTACCCCAAACCACCCCAGTCTCAGAATCCTGCTCATCATTCCTTTCTCTCCTGAGTCTTCTAGCTTTTCCCTTAAATTTACTTCTCCCCACTGTGAAAACCCAGAGGGGCTGGCTGGTCGTGCACACCTATAATCCCAGCCAATTCCAGCTACTCAGGAGGCTGAGGCAGGAGAATTGTAAGTTTAAGGCCAGCCTGGGCAATTTAGTAATACCTTGTGTCAAAATTTAAAAAAATAAAAAGGGCTGAGGATGCAGCTGGGTGATCGAGCACCCTGGGTTCAATCCCAGTAGCACAGGCAAACCAGGAGGAGCATTTCCTGTGCTGCCCCGCTGACCCCAGAGTGAGCGGCTTCCTCCACCTACTTGGAGCTGGCAGCTCCAAGACAGGGCTGACTGGGGAGGTCACCAGATGCTCCAGGGCCTCAGCCTCCCTGCTCTTCCTCCCTCCCTCCCTCCCTCCCTCAGCTCCCGGGACCGCAGGACCCCTGGTTCTCCTTCTTCCCTTTCGGGCTCCGGTTGCTCCTCCCATGCCCTCTCTGCCCACTCATTGCTCTGCCCCTGACCCTTTCGGCCCCACACACCCACACACACTCCCTGGCATCAACAGGGCTTCTGAGCAGTTGTCTGGCACCGTTGCTCCTCCACATGGTCTCCGATCCCCAGCTGCACCATGATTGTCTTTCCAGCCCTGGACATCAGCTCCCTGAAAGCCAGCAGTCTTTCCTCCTGCTTCCTCATTCCATTTCTCTTCCCCATTTTCTGCCCCACAGACTCATCACCTCCTTAGTAGCCCTAGTTGCTGCCACCTCTGTCCCTCCCATTGCCAAACACCACGTTGGTCCCACTTCACCCTTGTTCTCTGTGTGGGTCTCCTGAGCGAAACCTTAGGAATATCTCAGCCTGGTGTCTGGGACCCACCCGATTCTGGCCCCACTTTACTTCCCTGCCCTTAGACCCCCTTGGGTCAGCACAGGTGGGCAGGCGCTGTCCTGCTTCCTGCCAGCCCATCCCACCCATCCCAGGCCTCCCTCTCCCACTGCAGAGCCCCTGCTGTGCTGCAGGGCGCCAGGATGACCCGGGCCAGAGTTCTCCAGAGTTCCTGGAGAAAGGAGAAAGGAGGCAGCTCCTGACTTTTGGTATCTTCTACCCAACAATATCTCTCTAGAAACCACTGACCAAACCCTTCCCCCATACTGGGGATTGAACCCAGGGTCTTTGCACTAAGTTGCATCCCCAGCCCATTTTTCACTTTTTATTTTAAGATAGGGTCTTGCTAAGTTACTAAGTTTTGCCCAGGCTGCCAGGAACTTAGGATTCTCCTGCCTCAGGCTCCCAGAGTCCCGGGATTACAGTCACGCACTACCATGCCCAGCCAGTGGGCACCTTTGAAAAAGGACTTCACCTGTCTCTTCTCCCTGCCAGGTGCCAGCTTCTCCACCTCGCCAGGGATGCTCTGACCCGACCCGGTGGGGCAGCCGAGGGCAAGGCGGCACCCTGCTAAAGGCCCAAATGCAGCCGGACTTGATTTGGAGGCCGGGTAGTTCTCCTGCCATGGTCCAGCCCAGCCACTGCCACCTTCTGCCGGCCTTACAACTTCGGAGTCACCATCCGTGATCGGAGGAGGGGGCTCGGGACCCCTCGAGACAGCAGCTGGTCACAGCCCCTTTTGCAGCCAGGCTTTTCTACAGCAATGAGTGGAATCACCAGGAATCACAGGAACCACCCCTGCCCTACTTAAAGTGCAGAGGTGGGAGTTGGGAAAGAGCAGGATCACTCTAACGAGGCTCTGAGGCTCTTTGGCCTGGAGGCGAGCTCCCGCCTTCCTCCCTCCCCCTCTCTCCAGCCAGGCCTCAGACTCTGCCCAGCCTCCTACCCCTGGCCCCGGCTCTCTGGGCACTTCGTCCCCTTTCTTAGGCCACCTGCATCTCAGCCTTTCCCCGGGCTGCAGAGCCGCTTAGAGCCGCGGGTGGGCGTGCCCAGAGGTGGCCCTCAGCATTCCCCCTTCTCCCAACAGGGTCGGAGGGTGGCCTCCGAGCCGAGGCGGCGTCTGTCCTGCAAGGGTGGGCCTCGGGGGACTCAAGAGTGACGCCCTGGAGAAGGTGCAGGGCCGGGTGGGCGCGCCTGCCCAAAGCCAGAAAGTGGTGGGAGGAGGGAAACTGACTCCGCGACGCTTAACCGGCCACGACCACTGCCAAGGGGAGGGAGACGCCACTCTCCCTGGACCCGGGAGCGCGCAGCCAGCCCAGCCGGGTCCAGCTTCCCTGCGCGGGGTTGCGGGGTTGCGGGGTTGCGGGGCTGGGAGTGGATCCACAGTATTTGTGGGGCCCGGTGGCTGCGAGGTAATGGGGCGTGGTGAGGGGAGCCAGTTCGCGCCTCGCTCCTCGTCCCCCTCCCCTCTTCTGCGACCCCTGGCGGCCGAGAGTCCTCAAGCCCGGCAGCGTGACCAAGTTTGGACGCGCGGTGCTGGGGACTCCGGTCGCGGTCACGGTCTTGGTCGCGGTCCCGGCCTTGGCGGGTCCCTGGCCAGGCCCGGGCCGCTGAAGGGAGGGGGAACCCTCAGCCGCCCACTGAAGCTCCAGACGGCTGGACCCCGAGGGGCAGAAGAGGAGCTCTGGGCGTGACCCCGACTCCTCCCTTGCCAGCCCCTGGACCAGTCGCAGCGGGGGAAGCCCCAGCCCCAAGTCTCTGTGTGTTGCTTTATTATTTTTTCTCCTATGTGTGGGTTTTTTCTTGGAGCTGTTTCATAGGAATTCCCGTAATAAAGACTTGGTGTTCTCTTGGTGCTCTCATGTGGCCTGCAGTTGTGGGCTGGACCCTCCCGCTTTGTCCCTTCTCTGCGTGTCCCTGGGCCACCTGCCTCTCCTGCGCTCTCCCCTTAACCCTCGGCATTTCTAGGCCCCAAGGGCTCCAGCGCTGTCCCTGCTGCACTCCCCAGGTGACGCCTATCGCCCTGCACCACAACCTCACCGACCTGCTGGCTTTGTCTGGGCGCTGTTGTCTTCCTGTTTGCCCAGGAAAGTCAAGTGCTTGCTGATAGGCAAAGGAAATGCCTGGGGAAAGCCAGTGTATTGCGAAAGCTGCCTGCACTCTGGGTCAATTGCCTAAATAAACAGAAAGCTTCTGGATTAAAGGCGACTGGAAGAGCAGGGCCTGCGAACTCCAACTTCAAAGGGAACGCAGAGACCTTCCAGTCCCCCGTCGCCTTGCCCTGCTCCCCAGTCCCACACAGGACAGGAAAGGGGCACCACCAGCAGAGGAAGCTGATGCTATTTCCAAACAGGGCCCCTCTGAGGTTAAACCTTCTTCCTCGTAGTGAGCCAAAGGCTTCCCAGTAGCTTCCATCTTGCTCCTGGGCTCCAGGTCACCACCACCGAGCCCGCCTCTCTTCCCCCTAATGCCATGTTCCCAAGCAACCAACTTTTTCTTCTGCCCTAGGTACAAACAGGTTCCCCCACCCACTGGGGGCTGGCCCACCCCATGTAACCTGGATGGGCTTGAGTAGTGATAGGTCTGGGACAGCCATGGTGACCACCCTGGCTCTGCACATGGGCCACTGACAGCTAGCCTCAGCCCCACCTGGGACTTGTTAGAAAGGCCAGTTCCCAGTTCCAGGCCCAGCCCCAGCTCAGGCCTGTGAGTCAGAAACATGGGTGAATTAGTGCAATTCCAGTGCACTTTAAAGCTTGGAAGCCATGTACTAGATCAGTCCCTAGTACTGGGTGCCCACAAATACTTTTTTAAAATTCTGTAGGGGCTGGGGATGTAGCTCATTAGTAGAGCACTCACCTGGGATGCAGGAGGAGCTGGGTTCAATTCCTAGCACTGGAAAAAAGTGGGGGAGCTACATTTTTTAAAATCAGGCATGGTGACACATGCTGGTAATCTCAGCACTTGGGAAGCTGATGCAGGAGTATGAGTTCGGGACCAGCCTGGACAAATTAGTGAGATCTTGTCTCAAAATAAAAAGGGCTAGAAGTGTAGTTTAGTGGTACAGCACCCCTAGGTTGGGTCCCTAGTACTGGTAAATAAATATCCAGATGCTCAGTACCCCAGACTAATTAAATCAACTACAGGTTGTTGTTTAAAGCTCCCTAGATTCTTCAAGTTTGTGGTCAAGTCTGAGGACTAGCACACTAACCTGTCCATATTAGCTCACCTGACCTTGTCCAGTAACAGCTACTTTACAGATGATGAAATGACAATTCAGAAAGCTTAAGTAACTTATCCAAGATCACAGAGCTAGAACTGCATTAAGCCAAAAAAGGGGACCCAGGGCTGCCTGATCCCAAACCCTGTGTTGCATGCTGTATTTCCCTGCTACTCCAAGTGTGCTCCACGAACCAGCAGCAATTCACCAGCCATCACCTCTGAGTGTGTCAGAACCCCTGTTATCAGCCCCCACTCCACATGTAGTGAATTTGCAATTGGGCTGCACTGTAAAAGCCCTTCAGAAGATTCTGATACATCAACCACAATTCTGCAACTTGGCCACTCACATTTGGTTGGTGGTCTAGCAGCAGCAGCACCTGGGCATCTCAGACTCTGACCCAGACCTCCTGAACTGGAATGTGCATTTGACCAACTCTTTAGGCAACTTGTGTGCACATTACAGCTGGAGAATTCCTCTGGGACACTGGCTCTCAAATTTGCTGTATGTTAGAATCATTATGGATGCCAGAGATCCCAATCCCATTGGTTTAGGATTTTTGCCTGAGAATCTGACTGTAAAATTTCAGGCGATGATAATGCATAGCAAAATTTGAGAACCATACACTGGGTGTGTTTTTTTTTCTTTTTTGGTACCGGGGATCAAACTCAGGTCCTTGCGCTTGCACAGCAGGCGGTGAAACCACTGAGCTAAATCCCCGGCCCTAGAACCATACACTGTTTTGCCTATTAGTGTAGATGAGATTGAAGGTGACTGCAACCACAGGGAGGGGAAGCAAGAAAGGGGAGGGGAGAGTGAGAAAGAGAGAACACTACCATGTTGAAGAGTGAGGCCCAGGACCCAGGATGGAGACAGAGCAGGCGCGATGGCGGCCCCAGCCTCTACCCTTGCACGCTGCTTATCTGCAAATGTTGGGCTCCCCAGAGCCACAAGGTGATACAGATTCATCTTCTGCAAAATGCTGAGCCAGGCTCTCTGGAGTCTGGTCCCACTGGTGGCCCTGGGGCTCAAAGGCCAACTTGCAAGGAGATCACAGGTCTGGAAAACACTGCATCCCTTTTGGGATCTCAACCCTCCCTCTGTTCTTGAGGCACCTGCTTGGGAGTAGGGATTAGAGGTTGGCGGGAAAACGGGAGAGTTTGTTTGGTCTAAAGAATAAAAGGACAGTAAGGTGGGGTGATGAGGTTTATTATATGGCATCACTCTTCTGAGGTGCTTTACAGGCATGATTTTACCTAATCCCAACACTGATATGCAATCAGCATTACTCCCATTTCATACACATCAGGGAACTGAGGCCGGGCATGGTGGCACACACCTGTAATCCCAACATTCAGGAGACTGAGGTAGGAGGACTGCCATGACTTCAAGCCTAGCCTGGGCTACATAGTGAGTTCAAGATCAGCCTGAACTACATAGCAAGACTTTGTCTCAAAAAGCAAGAAACAAACAAACAAAAACAAAAAAGGAAACTGAGGCATGGGGATGTTCGGTTCCTTATTCAGTAATACATGGTAGTACCTGGATTTGAACCCAGGCAGCTGAATGTCAGACCTGATGCCTAATGCTGGGGCAGTATGTTGGGGGCTGGCAGGAGACAGTGATAAGACCCAGGACCCCTGCATGGATGCTATTCCCAGAATAGAGAAAGGGTCCTCCTGCTCAGAAACTCCACAGTGATCTGTGACCCAGCAGTATGCCTGAACTACCCCATTAACATTCTTTATCTGGTTTTAAAACAATCTCTTAGTATTTTCATCAAATGGAAAATATGCTATTGAGAGAGAAGCACATGAACTCCTTATGCCCGTTATCACGGCACAGATTAATTTGTTGGATCAGCGGGCTGGGCCAGCTCGGGGCAAGAGTTGGAAATTTCTGTAGCTAGCAGAATTGAAAGGCGCTGTGTAAATCTACTGCCCCCTGGTGGTCATCCTGCAGAAGTGGCAGTCACTGGCCGCCAAAAGAGGAAACATCATTTTCCCAGATGTGAGCAGCCCTGAGGCTAAACAGACTGAAGGGAATTTGTTCACAGGATCTTGTTTTGCAAGATTTGAAAAACAAAGCCTTTGGGGGGTTTTGTTTTGGTTTTAGCTTAAAAGGGCCACTAAGGATTTAAGTTTCAGTCCCCACAAAACTAGCATTTACTCTGCCTGGAAGGCTGAGGCCTGGAGTCAGGGGTCATTTATAAAGTGTCACTATTCCTTTTTTAAAGAATCTTATTTATTAAAAAAAAAGAATCTTATTTATTATTTCTTTTAGCAATGCTGGGGATCAAACTCAGGGCCTCAGGCATAGTCGGCAAGCACTCAGCCACTGAGCTACACCCAAAGCCCTAACTGTTACTCTTCTTTATGAGGTGAGAGGATTCTTCCAGGGACTCTGGAGTACGAAGCTCTGAAGCTCCATAGAAACTCAGCACAAGCCACCTTGCTATGACCTCGCTATTTAAGTGTGGTCAGGTTGTAGCACTTTCAGTGCTAAAGCTGAGTGGTCCATTACAACTTTTGACACAAACCTGGGAAAGTTGATTGTTCTGCTGTAGACTAGCAAGCCCCAATATCAAGCCAGAAGCTTGTTGGAATTGCGGACTTTCAGAGGGACCCGGCACACCCCTGCATTTCTAGCACTCAGGGAGGCTGAGGTAGGAGGAACACAAGTTCAAGCCTACCGTGGGAAACTTAGGGACTTGGTGAGGCCCTGTCTCAATATTAAAAATTTTAAAAAAGACCAGGGATGTGGCTCAGTACAAAGGCCATGATTCAATACCCAGTACTGGGGGGTGGGGAGCAGCTTTTCAGTTGAGTGTGGAGCCGCGTATCCCTAATTCCAGCTTCTCAGGAGGGTAGTGAGTTTGAGGCCAGTCTGGGCAACTTAGTGAGACTCTTTCCAGAAAAAGAAAGAAAGAGCGAGCTGGAAATGTGGCTTAAGGTAGTGTCCCTGGGTTCCATCAATGCTGCAAAATGAAAGAAATGCAAAGCTCCAGGCCTCACCCAGGATCTGAGTCAGAACCTGTATTTCTGAAGATCTCCAGGAGATTCAAGTGCACACCTAAAGACCAACTTGCTCTGACTTCCACAGCAAGAGAAGCACCCACAGCAGCCCTGAAAGACCAGGGCCTTGGACAGGTCTCATACTTGGTGGACCATGGAACACCACAGAGACCCGAGTCAACCTTTAACTGTAATGATCACAGGCCACATGGTCACCCCAGGCCCAGCGGGCTCCTGTTTCCTTGGCTGTAGAATGGCCCGGAGGGGACGCAGCTCTCCCAGGCCAGGTGTGAGCGGAAAGTGCGGATCTCTCCTCTGTCCGGGCTGGATTCTCCATGCCTGCGTGCGTGTGTGCGTGCGCGCGTGCGTGCAAGGCCCCTGTTTGGTGAAGAAAAGAGCAGGCGGCCATGTGAAAATGTTTTACGAATGGGATTTAACCGTAGGCCACTGTTGCTTTTTCCTGCCGAGTAGTCAGACATCATTACTATCACTCGTGTTCGTCCAACGGTTGCTAAACACCAGCCACCGTTTGGAGGACTTCACTGTATCAACCCACGGACTGACTGCCCCAAGGCTTTCTCCTAGGAGCTCCGACTGTCTCCATTTCACAGGCGACAAAGC